CCCCCCCCCATGCTGTCATCCTTACCTGGTACTCTGCTGACCTGACAGCTTCAATTAAACAAGACCTAGTGACTCCAGCACCTGAGGTGCTGGTAATAGCAAGGTCATGGGACGAGTTTATTTTGTTTGAGCAAGGCTGAGCTGTGCCTTCAGATAAACCTATGCTAACTGCTTCTTTGAAATGAGGTACAGATCTTCTAACTTTGGTTCTGCTGAGAATTTATTTTAATAATCTACTCATTAGCCTGATGTCTAATATCTTGAAGATCATGGTTTCATATACTTTGTCCAGTTCTTTAGTTGTTGCAGATAGGGTAAACTTGGTTCCCATTCCTCCATCTTAGGCAGAAGCCAGGAGTCATTTTGTGGAGTTGGATTTTTATTGTAGTGCATTTGGCTGGTGATAAAAGAAATCAGATGGAACTGACGTAGTAAATAGCTTGCGTGATTCTTTAGGACAGTGGTTCTCAAATTTGAGCATACATGAGAATCACCCAGAGGACTTGTTAAAACACATTGCAGGGTCTACCCTCAGAGTTTCTGATTTAGTTGTCCAGGGTGGGGGAGGCGGCTGATAATTTGTAGGTTTTGTATGTTCCTAGATGCTGCTGCTGATCCAGGGACCACACTGAGCATCAACCAGCGCTTCCAGATGTGGGTCTGCAAACTTTTTCTGTACAGAGTTAAGTAGTAAATATATCAGGCTTTGCAAACCGTGTAGTCTGTCACAGCTACTCAACTCTGACTCTGCTGTTATAGGGCAAAATAGCCACAGGCAATTTGTACGGAATGGGTGTGGCTGTTTTCCAGTCAAACTTCCTTTACAGAAGCACGGGCTGTAGTTTGCCTGTTTCTCCCTTTGAGCATTGACTCTGTGATTGGTACTATGGTGGGTGGTTGCTGCTGCCTTCCAGAGTGAAGGGGAAGCCGTCGATTCTCCTGTGGGGATATTGCATGCACGGCTAGTCACTTGAGCTAGAGTTTGGTTTCTCTACTCAGGATGATGTGGTAGATGAGGCGATGTCCACCTTTCTAGGCTGTGTTTCTGTCTGACGCTGTGAAATAGAATGCTGCTGTGGACATACAAAGGAAAAAGAACCCCTCCTGCCCTCTCCCATAATACACCCAGGACCGCCTTAATCATTTGCAACCTGGTATAAAATGAAAATTCAGACACCCTTGTTCAAAAATTATTCAGAATTTCAAAATGGTGATAGAACATTAAACCAATTACAGAGCCCTGAGTGACGGTACAAGTGTCATGGCCACGAGGCCGGCCTGAACTTATGTCACCATCATGGCCTCAGCTGCTACCTCTACCATATACACTCCTATGTGGATTTCAAGACAGAAATGCTGTTTATGTGAAGGCACTAATGGTATTGATATCCATTCTTAGAAAACATATTTAGCTTTTTCTTTCTGCAGCAGTTTTGTTTTGTCAGGGCTGAGTGTGTGCCATGCAACCAAACTGCCCAGTGTTCAAAGATATCTTGCACACCACAGATAGGGAGGCTTCTAGACTGACATAGAAGGTACAGTGGGGAGTGATCCACTTACAGATGGTTTTTATCCGTGTGTAGGGAACAGAGATGACCAGTTATGGTGATTTCTGTTCTTCAGGAGCCAGGGTTCCTACAGCCACAAGTCAAGTCATCTGCTGAAAACAAGAGCATTGGCATCTGGAGAGAGAGCACAGTTCGTTGTAGTGCTCCCCCAGATTCTTGAATCCTTGCTTTTCCTTGCTGTTATAAAACTAGATCCACAGCATGGGGTATATGGAGTCCTTGAGAGAGAGAGATTGGAGGGAAACTGTAGCCTTGATCTAGTGCTGAATTTTGGACTGGATAGCATCATTCTTCTAATCCTACTTGTCTTTTTGAGCCCGGGACTGGCTGTGATATATCCTTTGAAAGAAGCAGAAGCTCTAACCCTCAGGATGAAAGATCGTTTTGAAGTGGCAACTGTGGATTAGGAAGGATGAGTTCCGTCATTAAGGGCGAGTACACGACACTATAACACCAAACCTTAACTCCACATAATGAGAAAAAGGATGCAGGTTTCTTAAAACATATGTACAACAAAAATATTCAGAAATCAGTGAGCATTTTAACAGGTTATATACCAATGTGGCCATCTCAGCTGTTTGAGTATTCTGCTTCCTAGGTCTTTCTGTAGAAAGCCTTTCCTGAGTCCTTTCCAGTATGAATTATATTCCCTCTGTCCTTGACTCTCCTCCTCCTCTCCACTGACTCTCCAGTGGTCTGGATCTTGGCCCTCATCATGCTGAACTAGAATAACTATGTTACTTGTCTGCCTGCAGCACTAGATTGATCTTGAAGGCAAAGATGTTATTTACATGTGTATTCCCATGCCAAGCATAGTACTTGACACCTAGTATATCTTCAAAAAGTACTGAATTAATGAAATCCAAAGTCAAACCCAGTTAGAACCCAGCTCACATTTCAGAAAATCAAATATGTGCTAAGTCAAAATGTGAATTTCAAAGCAGTATTCAGTGATGATGAAACATTCTATATCTACATTGTCCAATAAGGGAACACAGGAAATGTGGCTAGTGCAACTGAGGACCTAATTTTTTTGTTTTATTTAATTTTAAATAATTTGAATTTAAATAGTCACATGTGCTAATGGTACCATATTGGACAGCACAGTCCCAAGCCTACACAACTCTATCTCATAATGACCAGACACAACTTCATTAGCCAGGAAAGCAGGCATTGGTCTTGTTCTAGAATGCCATCATGGAGACTGAGAAGGGGGGAGGTTGTGAATGATACAACACACCCAGGTCTATTTTCTCTTTATATAATGGGACTCACATCATGGCCAAGGCCAAGGATTTTGGTTTCTCTTGGTTTGGGAGCCTGGAGAGAATTTGGGCTTTTAGTTGCATTTCTCTCACCCCAATCCCCAGAAAGTCATGTGACAAAATAAAATTAAGCTCTAACATCCCTGTTCACAAATCTCATGTGTCTGAAGCTCTTTAAAGTACTGACTTGCTGGTGAACTTGAACCATATCATGCGCTGGTTCCCATCTTATGTAGTTTCATAAATCCATTTCGGGGGGGGGGGGTCTTCTTGAAAACAGCTGGTCATCTTTTGCAATAAAAGGAAGCACAGCTTTCTGACAAAGCCCTGACATTTTAAATTTTCCAATGAATTAAAGAGAAATCTGGTGGTGAGTGTTTGTAGTCACTTTCCATGGTAGGTTTAAGCAAATGCTAGTTAAGAATGGGATGCTCATCAAAATGGAAAAGTTCATCTCTGGTGTTTTATGTTGGTTGTCATTCCCCGACTACTGTGAAGACCACTTGGGGAAAAGAAATTTAGCTGGCTTAATGTGCTTGCCCTGAGGTAATGCACCGCTCTTGATTGCCATTAAACACCATAATGCATTTAACATTCGATTTCCCCGACAAGCCGTTTACTTAAGGGTCTGGAGACTATCAACAGGGATGGTAGGTCAAGAGAGGGACTGACATTATCCTGAGGCCAGCACCGCTTTACTGAAACATAAATGTCTCCAAACTGAAAACGTCACCTAGCTCTGCCCCTTGGGGAGGTCTTTATGGACATCTCAAGTAAAAGTTTATTTTGAAAATGAATACAAGTCTCATCTTAAGATTAAGAGTGAATTTGGGCTCTCTCTCCTTCATTTCACTTCATGGATGCTCATTTTGTCCTTTTTTCCCCCTTCTTTTCCTCTCCTTCCTCCAAGCACTTAAACATCATCCACCAGTTTGGGGTTTTGACTGAACGTGTGTCAGGGAAGGGGCAGATGGAAGGTGGGCGGAGGAGGAGGAGGACTCTGAATGAACTGCTTGTGCTGCCTGGGCTGGGGGAGGATTTTATTAAGAAGTTGAGGTAATTTCTGATACTTACTTGAATGAAACTTGAGTGGACCCACTTGAGTGCATTTTGGTGACTTCATACTTTCCTGAATTAGGGACCAAAATACCTCTGGCCTTTCCAAAATGATCATGTTGTTATTTTCCTGAACTTGGCGACAGTATTCCAGTTGCCCAGGAGGTCAAGGGCTTGGGGAAAGCCATTGGCTGCTACAGCAGTAGATGAACTTGAAACCCCAAGGTTGAGGTTGGAGAAAACCCACTGTTGCTTTTCTTCACGGAGCTGCAGCTTCACTGCTGGCCTCTCTTTTGACTTTGTTAGTGGAATGCGTGCTCCTCATCATCACCTGAGCAAGGGTACCCTCACCCTCTAGTCGATCAGGAAGCTCTAGAATGGTGACAAGTGCCATATCCATTTGTCAGTTGACTGCTCTGCCACTCACTACCCTTCCAGACTCTGAGCAAATTAAGTGACGTTCCCTCTTGGAGCCTCAGGGTCCTCAACTGAAGAACGTCAGACCATGGTAACCCCCCACTGGCCCTTGGGATGTTGAGTGAACCACAGAGCATGAGGAGGGAAGATGGAAAAGTAGCACCTTCTCTGCTAACATGTGGTGTACATGGGGACCAGAAGGCACTGCTGCCCATAACAGCTGCATGTTCTCTCCTTTGGGCCCAGGCTGCTTTGAATGCTGCATCAAGTGTCTGGGAGGAGTCCCCTACGCCTCCCTGGTGGCTACCATCCTCTGCTTCTCTGGAGTTGCCTTGTTCTGTGGCTGTGGGCATGTGGCGCTCGCGGGCACCGTGGCCATTCTGGAGCAGCACTTCTCCACCAACACCAGTGACCACGCCTTGCTGAGTGAGGTGTAAGTATCCGCTTCCCTTTAAAAATGTACTTACAATGCAACCACCTTAGGATGTTTTCAAAAAGGCTATAGAGTGTTCTCCTGGCAGAAAACTGATGCTTTTAACTAAAGCTCACCATATGCAGATAGAAACAGCTCTGTTAGAGAAGGAAAAGGAAGGGCCAAGAATGTGGTGGGATCTCACCTGCGAATGGCAAGGTGCACACAAAGGACACTGCACACAGTAGCCATGGATGTGGGGGACTGTGTCAAGGTGACAGGATGATGCTGCCAGTCATCTCACCAGAGAGAGTTACCAGTGTTCCCAAGTAGCAGACACCCTCCAGTTTTCTCACAGGAAATGACCACCCCTGGAACGATAGGAGCCCTGCTGAGGACTTATCCCAACTCCAAGTCTACAGGAGCTGTATTTTAACATTAACTCTTCCGGCAGAAGAACAAATCCCACGGCATCCTTCAGTGCAGGAAAGGGACAGTTCCAGGGGTTTAGTTCCAGATCTCTGTCTTCCCATCGTGGAATGATTCCCGGTGGTCTCAGCAACTCCTGTGCACAGAGGCCCATAACTGTGCAAGCTCAGCAGCAACATACTTATTTCCTTCAAATAGTTTTCTCTTTCTCCATTTCCTTCGATGTTTTCTTTTTCTTTCCTTGAATCCCAAGTTTTCACAGTGTTTAGGTGTCTTGAGATTGTAAGAAACTTCATCAGACTGGAAAAGGCATGAATGGAGTTTTATGGAACAATAATGGAATTATGTTAGAAGAGTCCTTAGGGAATTTTATTCTTTTTTATCTGTTCACAAATGACATCCAAAGAAATGAACAGGGGTGGGAGAGGATATAAGGAGTGATCAAGCCGGACAAGGGACTCGCTGAGTGCCAACTATGTGCAAAGAAGAAATATTTACCAAGACTGAATCTGGGAAAAGCATATTAATTTAATTTAGCTAGTGATTTCAATCTGTGCCTCTCAAACTTCTGAGAAGCTTTTAAAAGTCCCCATGCCCATGCTTCACCCAGACCAATTAAATCATAATCTCTGGGAATGGGATTAACTTTCTGTATCACTATGTACTGAGGATCTCCATGCAAAAAAATTTTGCTAAGGTTATTCCTTAAAGGAGCCCTGAGTGCTTAAGGGTTTTGTCAGAATGACATTAACCACGAGGCCTGGTTGGGAGGCATTTTGATATGGTGGAAAGAACATGCTGTCCATCAGACCAGGCTTCAAATGCTGGCTCTGCCACTGTGTATCCTTAGGTGAGGAATGTCACTCCTCAATGCCTGTGTTTACTTATGTGCAAAATGAGGATTCGAACCCTCACCACACAGGATAACTGGGCCCTGCTCTTGACCAAAGGAAGCTTCTCCCTTGTCTAGGAAAGTTGTTTGTTCCAATCTTGGGCCTTCCTCCCAAGGTAGGCCTAGTTTGCTGGGGGGTGGGCCTTCCCAGAATGCCCCACGAGCCCACTGAAGCCATCAGTGGGGTAGGAAACACCACAGGAATATCACCTCGTGTCCTCTCTCCAGAGTCTGGAAACCATAGTTTGTAGCACGCAGTGAATTTAATGTTTCAGGATCTCTTCTTCTTTCCGTAGGATACAACTGATGCAGTATGTCATCTATGGAATTGCATCCTTCTTTTTCTTGTATGGGATCATTCTGTTGGCAGAAGGCTTTTACACCACAAGTGCAGTGAAAGAACTGCACGGAGAGTTTAAAACAACTGCCTGTGGCCGGTGCATCAGTGGAATGGTGGGTATGAACCTCTGCTAACCGATTGTCTGATGTACTGTCAGAAGCGTGCCTTTATGTGTTTTTTTTATAGTTGGTAAAAACCATGAGCTATTCGAGAGTAGACGGAGGGTCTATGACACAAATGTTGGCCCTACCAGTTTAGAGTTAGGATTATGAAACCCTTCAATGTTATTGATAAAAAATTAAAATCTATAGTTTGTAGTAGTAAATTGGATGTTTTCCTTATCAATGTACAGATAAGAGTATTAAAAATTTCTCAAATGTAAAGTTCCTACTATAGAAGGAGATAACTTTCATATTGTCTCAGTGTTCCCTTTCGTTTATCTTTGAATATGGATCGTGGCCATAAAGACATGGATGTTATGATAAGTCATCACGATCTTTCTATAAGTATTTACCAGCACCAACGTCACTGGACTTTGCTAGTCACGGAAGGTGCAAAGATTAAAACACAGGCTCCTTCCTCAAGGAGTCTAAGACAGGGGCTTGCAAACTACAGCCTGTGGGCCAAATTTGGCCTACTACCTGTTTTTGTATAGCTCAAGAGCTAAGAATGGTTTTTATATCTTTAAACAGTCAGAAAAAAATGAGTAATATTTCATGACCCATGAAAATCATACAAAATTCAAGTTTTGGTGACTATAAATAAGTTTATTGGCACATAGCCGCATGCATTTGTTCACATACTGTCTCTGGTTGCTTACATGCGACAGCAGCAGAGCCGAGTGGTTGTAACATGAGACCGCATGTGGCCTATAGAGCCTAATCCGTTTCCTATCTGGCCTTTATGGTAAGATAACGTTTGCTGACCTCTGGTCTAGAGGAGGACGCATCTGAAAAGTAGTTAATGAACAGAATGGGTTAAAAAGTGCTGCTTCACAAAGGAAAGCCATTGTGGTGGGTCGAAAGGCTAGGAGGGAAGAAGCACTTAAAGGGTTTGATGTTTGGCATGTTGAATTTGTTTGTAGTGGTATATTCATGTCGAAATGGCTCACAGGCAGCTGGCTAAGTTGGTCTGGCATTTGAAAGAGTGGTCAGGTGTAAGGAAAACAGTCTGGGAGTTGAGAGAAGTGCTCATGCTGAGGAAGAACCCCTAGGCTTGCAGAAGAGGCTGCTGACCCTCTCCTGAGGAGGACACAGCCCCTTGCCTCGGGGCCATGGGCTCCCTGGCACTGGGCACCAACTGAGCTTTCCGCTCTCGGGGAGGAGAGGGCGTGAGGTCTGGATTAAAGCACCAGGAGAGCCCACTGTTCATAAAAGTCCTTCTTAAGGGGGTGTGCAGATCGTAGTGGGATTCTTCGTGACCTGAGCCTAGGTCTGTAGGGTCTGTGATGGGCGCTTCGGACCTTGCATCCGGCTTGTGGCAGAGAGCACGCAGAGCTTGCCCTTGGCAGTGGCAGTACACCCGAGCCAGGGAGACCAGGTGGCCTGGGCTCGAGCTGTTCCCAGGCAGGGTGGTGTGGGGCCTGGCTGGAAGACCTCTCCACCCGCGGAGCACAGCCCGCTTTTAGTTGCTGTGTGTCAGGTTTTGTCTGAGAAAGAATCCACCGTAAAAAGTGGGACAGCCACTGTGGTATGGAGAGGACCCGGGTTGCCTTTATTTGCTCCATCCGTTCTGTCACTGATTGTTCATGCGCCCCCTGCGTCCCTGGCTACCTGTGCCTCGTGTGTTCTGGTTTTGTCTATAGCTCAAGGGGGTCGTGATGCTGACCTGCCTGGCGGGTGCTAGGAAGATGCAAGGGACAGGGTGGGGCCGATGGTGCTGAAGCAACATGCTGGTGAGGTGGGGAAGCCTGCTGTCACTGCAGGCCTTGCTCCCCTTGGTCCTTGGGGGGGAGGCTGGGCCTCTCACCACCAGGCACTCGCCCGCCCTCTGAGCCCTGACCTCCCCTGGAAGGGGAGGCTCGCCACAGCCGAGGACCGCTAGACCTCTCGGAAGTCACTGTGGTGTTATTAGAAAGGGAGCAAAGTTTTCTTCTGAAGGGAAAGAAAAACCCTAGTCTGGAGCAGCCATGAGCATCAGGAAAGGAGGGGAGGTAAAACTGCCGAAATCTGCTGCTTTGAATATTTTTAGAAATGCAGATGCTTCCAAAAGTGTAAATGTCCTCGAAATAAAAGGAACAAGTGCCTTGTTTCTGCAGTTTCTTAGGGTGACCAATGGGAGGTAGCCTGTTTAGGCCTGACCTCCAGGTGTGCCTCATGCCATCCAAGTATCTCCTGAGGTATGAAAAGTTCTGTGGAGTCCTCTGGTCTTCACCATCAGCTTAAAAAATAACAGCCAAACTAGGAGAGCTCCCAACCCTCACCCACACGCTCTGTGGTGGGTGCACGTTCTGAGAATAGAAATTCCACGTCTTTGAGGCAGCCTTTCAAAGCTCTCTGAAAATTGGTAGTCGAGGCAGAAGCTTATGAAGAAAGTCAAGTGATAGGATTATATTCTTCCTGGAATCCCCCATGTCAACGTGTGGGTGAACACCATGAAGCTTTTTCCCGAAGCCATTGCTTTGCTTGCAAAGCTGCTCTGAATCTTAGAGATGAAAGAAAACTAGAGGGAAGTGAGAATTTTATCAGGGTCACTGTGCATTAAGCTTCTGTTCACAGCTACTCGAAACTTTCCATAAAGGTTCAAGCATCTAATGCTTTTAGTAGTTTCACAAGAACGGGAAACTAGTGAAGTTCCTTTGGAGAGAAGCCTTCCTGTAGCAATTGCTGTTCTACCAGCCATCTGTTATGTAAAAAAAATTTTTTTGAGATATCAATATAAAGTTATAATTCAGTGGTCCGTGAAAGCATCCAGAGCCTATCCCATGTTAAGCAGGATGCTCTGAGTTCCTGGAAGTGATGTTAAGTGATGTTTAGAAAGAGCACCTCATGGGAGGCCCTGTAACTAATTAGCTTCTGTGACCTAGGAGGAGTGAGATGACTTCTTGAGGTCTGGAGTCCTTGCTGGTTCAAAGAGGGACCTGAAAAAATAAATCCCATGGTCAGCACTACCATTCTAGATCCTCCAGCTATGGGGAAAGTGGCCAGCTTGTACTGCCCCTGCTGCTCTGTGCAGTCAGTGCTGGCTTTTCCTTCTGGCTGTCATAGCCTGGGTGGGGGTCCCCAGAATGCCCTGCACAGGCTGTCTTGGGCTCGGAAATGCACCATCCTTGCTCTCAGTCTGCCAGTTTCAGTGATGATTCTTTCTCCTTCCTCTCGTTTTCGGCCTAGTTTGTTTTCCTCACCTATGTACTTGGAGTGGCCTGGCTGGGCGTGTTTGGTTTCTCGGCGGTGCCCGTGTTTATGTTCTACAACATATGGTCAACCTGTGAAGTCATCAAGTCGCCGCAGACCAACGGGACCGCGGGTGTGGAGCAGATCTGTGTGGATATCCGGCAATATGGTACTTGCTTTTAATCCGTCCCCACCCCCCATTAATTCTGTGCATAGGCCTGGACCTTAATTATTACATGGGCGTCTTTTTAATCATCATGATCTCTTTCATACATTCTATTGGAATAGTTTATATTCTCTCTCTCAATATGCTCAGTTTTCTGGATGAAAACACCACTGAGGCTATTACTTTCTAGAGTGTCATTCAGGATTTTGTTATATTTTCATATTAAGTATGTAGTAAAAGCAGCTTTTTATAATGAGAAACTACTTTATAATGCAGTTCAATCAAAAAAGACTTCTGCATATCCATTATAAAAAGATTATATATATATTTTAATTTCCGTTTTGTACATCCAACTTTCCATCCAAAATAATATTGCACACATTGTGTAATTTAATTAATTTGCATGTCCAACTCTTCAAATGAAGTCTTTTTAAAATGACCAATTGCTAAACTTCATTTGTATTGAAAAGTGCAACATAAAATCCAGATTTATTTTAAAGTCATCAGAATATACTGTATAAATGCTGTCTTCAGCTGTTGGAAACCAGTTGAAACATATTTTCTAACGAATGGGATCCTCACAGTAGGAAATTAAGATTGGTTCATTGTGACAAGACACAGAAGGGGCCACTGGCTCCTCCTGTCAGCTAATTTAGGACTCTAGCTTCCCTGCTGAGCAAGAGAAAGTTGCATCTTAAGAAAGCAGTCTAATTACTGCTTCCAGCCAGGATAGTAGGAAATCCGTTCTTGGTAGAAACAACTATGGGGAAAAGGAGCTTTTCAGTAGAATTGAAGAGGAAATAACTGTCCTTCCAGAACTTTCTGGAGAGAGATGCCTATTTCATGTTTCCTTCTTGTTTTTCTCATGTGGCTTATTCTTCACATCTTATCTTACAACATAATATAAAACTTGCCTAAAATTACCCGTCGGACTTTTTTCACAAAGACCAAGGCTCATTAACACTGTTCTCTATGATGGATTTAAAAGCAGAGCCTGAAGTTGGTTTTAAAAGAATTCACAAATGAGTATATCAATGTATATCATTTCCCTATTTCTTAGAAATATTTTTCATCACAAATTTTTGGTAATTAGTAATCAAAGTTTTAAATCCTCTGTACCTGCCCAACTACTTATTCTTGAAATCATTGATTTTACTGACAGTTTGGGGACTCATTTCCCATTCTCCTGAGGCATAAAGATTTCCTCTTGGCTCATGTCAAGGATGGAAGGCGAATAAAGATTTTTTAAAAAAAAAAATACTTCTTCCTTACCTCCTGGGAGATGTGTAAATTGAGCTGTGTTTAATGATGCACATTAAAAGGGGAAAAAGAGCAGCATCCCAGTGGACAATAGTCACTGTAGAGAGGACTCAGGATTACAGTGAGAGAGACACCACAGACTGTGCTTGTCCCACCCTCTGGGGTGAGGGACAGTAGTGTTTTTTTTTTCCTTTTGTAAAAATTTCCAATTTGATTTTCAATCCGAAAGTATTTCCAATACATTTGTAAAACACAATAAAAATGAATATAAAAACAAAGACATACAAATAACAAATCCAAAGTTTTATATTGGATGCCAACAAATATAAATAAGTTATTGTCAAATTGCCATGAAAGTTTCTGAATATATACTCTCAATTTTGAAACTTATCTCATGGTGGACCTCTAACAGAGTTTGAGTAGCAAGTCCACAGACCACGACATTCATAAGGAAATGTATTTGACCTCAGCATGATCAAATGCTTTATGAGGGGGTTGTCCTGCAGTTGTTTAACTGTAGATAACAGATTCACTGTAGGGAAAACTTAGCTTTGAAAATTAATTTTTACAAACAACTCTACCGAAGTGCAATTTGCAGGGGAAAAAACATCAGGTTGTTTAAATCTCTTATGGACTAGTTGACTTTGCTCTTGCCCTACTGTCCCAATGGGGCTCACTGTTAATTATGAAACATCTGTTTTGCAGATAGCAGATATATCAATTGTTGATGAAGAACATAGCCTACAATTACATTGTAATTGGAATCCAAAGTGGTGAGGTCTCTTAACATGAGGCGCATAGTTTGCACTAACATTCTATTGGGATTCACTTTGCAGGTATCATTCCTTGGAATGCTTTCCCAGGAAAAATATGTGGCTCCACCCTAGAGAACATCTGCAACACAAATGAGGTAAGCCCGTGGCATAATTTGGCGGGCTCATATACAACCGACCGCTTAGAAAATTAGACTGGGAAAATGGATTTTCCTAGCTAGAAAGAGCAAGAGGGATAGCTAAAAGGCTCTTAGACAAAGCTCTTTTTTGTATACATTTTAAGATTGAACTGTTTGTAACCATCATTGTTCAGCTACTTTAGAGTTACAAAAATAGCCATTTCATATGGTCCAGCCCATTCAGCGAGGATCCTTAAGAATTGGGGAGCTATTCCTTTGGGCAGTAATTTAGGAGTGATCCCAAACCTACAAATCTGAGAATATATCTAGGTTCTTCTCCTTTCCCTTCAAAAGTTTTTCAAAGTAAAACACTTGACACAGAACAAATGTAAGTTAATCTTCATAGAAAAGATACCCCTGAATTTGTGTATATACCAAATTTTTAATGAGGCCACACCTAATCATTTATATTTCCTGAATGATTTGCTGTTATTTCTCTATTTCTCATTCATCCTTAATTGGAAGTATATCCTAACACTTTGGTTTAAACTGTTTTGGGTGTAGAATATCCTTCAGTCATTGGCTTATAAGTGTTTATAAAGCACAATTCTTAAAAGTATTGGTGAGAGCCTGCATATTTAAGAAATCCTTACATGCTTTTGGAAGGCAATGAGTTACAGAAATCATCAGCCCCTACCCTACCTGGCTTGCCAGTTTGTGCATCCATAACATGGATTGGTTCAAAGCAGGGGCTCCTGATCTTGGCTGCATGTTGCAGTTAATAGGGAGCATTACTATATACGGATGGCTGAGACCCAGTGTCCAGGTGTTTAGAGTTAATTGGTCTGGGATGCAGCCTGGGCATTAGAAAGTTTTTAAAGCCTCCCAAGTAATTCCAAATTGTGGCCAGAGCTTGAAGGCAACACAAGCCTGTGCCCAGCCTTGCAGAGAACAGCTGCAAAGGAGAGAGATGAAGCGGCACCCCAGAAGGGGACAGGCCATTTCGTTCCACATGCAATGCTTATGTCAGTACCCTGTTCTTTCCTAGTTCTACATGTCCTACCACCTGTTCATTGTGGCCTGTGCAGGAGCTGGTGCCACCGTCATTGCCCTGGTAAGTAACAGCCTCAGGACCACCTTAGTCTAGCCCACACCCCACCCCCCCAGCATCTAAATGACAGATTTCCCTTCCAGCTTTCCTACGGAAGCAAATGATCCTGGCACTCAACCTTGGTGAACTGTCACCTGTGTAAACCTAGCACCTATCTAGTTTGCAGGAAGTCCTAGCTGGCTGCCTTGGCACTGTTTGTAGGAGGTGTAACTTGGAGTCTGGAAAGAGGAGAGGGTACCAACACCTGTTGTCCAGGCCCAAGCTTACTGCCTTCCTGTGCTTAGTGCCTAGTTTCCTGACTTCAGTCATGGACACATGCTCACAGAAGGCATTCCCCACTTCTTTGCCAAGATATCTTAACTTCCAAGTGGAATTAAGCATACATACGTACACGTGTATATATAGAGTTGATCTCATTATATGTGGTAGTTATGTTCTGTAAAGTCACCACCGACACAGAATTAGCGAATACTGAACCATTGCTCCTAGGGGAAATATGGAGTAGGGTTCCTGTGAGCCTCTGCTTACATTATTTTCATTAACCTATCAACACATAACCTTGTTTTAACTATGCTTCTGTGTAAAGACATCTTATTTGATATATATTGTTGGTTCATTAATATTGAATACATAGCCAACAGCACTATCACTCACGCCTGAACAAAATTTATCTAACATACGTTTTCTCCATAAGGCACATCACAGCCTTCTTGTGCATAGGGACACTAGACAGCCCCTGCAGCACTATGCTTGGGGGACATTTTAAACAGTGAGATCACCAACAAAAATCACAAAAACGCAAAAAAACATGGTACTAAATATACGTCGAGGACACTTGTTTACAGTCTAAGAGCTGAAACAAGACAGAGCGTCCCCTTGTTCCAGCTCAGCTGGGAATGTGTGTATCGGGCAACTAAACTCTGTCACCACTATGCACGTGTGCTAATGACTGCAAAAGTGCCTCGAGTACTGATTTGGGGGTTACAAATAAGTTTTAGCAAGTAGGCAAATTTGCACATATGGAATCTGCAAATAAGGATCAACTGTAGAAACGTGTGTGTGTGTGTGTGTGTGTATGTGTATGTAAAAATAAATAATTTGGGGGCGCTTGGTTTGTGATCTGAAGAAAACCAACTAAGAATGGTAAAGCAAGGGGAAATCTCAGCTGCTCAGAAATAAGTCATTCTGTTTTTCTAACCACCAAGTCATTCCTTCCCATTACAGTCCATGAAAAAAACAACCTGTGAAATCATGGTGGTGACCTGTTCTCTTTGCTGAGCAACAGGCCAGGAAGAGGACTAATTGCTGCTGAGCAGGCAGTTTTGGAAAGATGGGGGGAAATAAGGCATTTTAGCTTCATGTTTCTCATTCTGCTGATCCAGCTCTTTATCTTGTTATTCTTCAAGTCTTTGTAATAAACTTTCTGAGGGCAGAATCAAGGATGAATATTGTGTATGTGTGATGAGAACAAGTTGGTGGGTGCTGGATGTGAGAATTGTCTGTCATGATAGTAAGCGGGGGAAAGAAGAAACCCCTTAGACTATGAGCTGGCACCCGTCCCCACCCAAGTGTAGAAGTGTTGGCACCTCACTGCCTGTATCTTACTGTCCTGTTTTGTTCTCTTCCACCAGCTGATCTACATGATGGCTACCACATATAACTATGCGGTTTTGAAGTTTAAGAGTCGGGAAGATTGCTGCACTAAGTTCTAAATTGCATAAGGCCACTAAGGAGCTTTAGAGAGCAATACTCTGTAGCATGAAATATCACTGACACTCCAGACTAAAGCAGAGTCTAGGCTTCTGCAGTTTTGTCACAGTAATTTGTAAATAGCTTTTAGTAAACTCATTTTGCATGGTAGATTAATAAGATGACTTACTGTACATAAATTACAAAATAATGAGATCTGGCTATTTCCACATTTTAAAAAGGACTCATTTACTGACATGGTGAGCATCCTTTTGAAAAATAATTTTCTTGAACTTCAGCTTTGAGCAGTATCTCTAAATATGAAGTATTAACACTTTGGAATACCCTCATTTTCTATTATTTTTTGCTTGCTTGATAGCCAGTTTCAATGATGAAAATGAAAACAAGTTCTGAAGATGAAATGGAAGAGAACCGTTTTAAACTGGATTTTGTTTTGTCAGACTTTCTGGAAAATACTTTGCAAACATGTTTTAAATTTGATTTAAAACATTTTTTTATGACCACATGGTTCACTACTAAATGTCCATCTAATAAGCCAGAGGAAAATTTGAAGAAAAAGAAATGTCACCCACTTATTTTCTCGGGTGGCGGGTGGGGATTTTTTTTTTTTTTTTTGGCACAACACTATCATTTGTTTAGAGCTCACAAAATTGGTAATCTTAAATTGTGTTTTGGTGAGCAGTAACTGTTTCCTCACAGCTAGTTCTCAAAGTGCATGTAATATTTTAACAGGAAGAGAAATTGGGCCTGGCTCTGAAGGTCTCGAATATGTTGAGAAGGAAGTATGGACTATCAGGAACTTGAGATATAGATTTATTTTGCAGGAAGTATGAGGAAAATAAACAGGAAAGAAGTGTTTGCCACATCAACTGTAAAGGATGATGCTGAGGATTTTTATGTTTTGTGAAATGAAATAATGGCAGTTATAAAATGAAAAATGTAGTTTCACTACTAAATATTTGTTAACACAGAGACTGCACACTTTGCTTCTAGTTCTTAATTTTAGTTTTGACATTCTTTTAATTTTTCCATGTTAAATATGTAGTATTTTAATTATTTACTCAAAATAAACACTGTTCACACTTTTAGGCCTTTGGGGGAAATTGATTTTTATCCACAGGTGGAAAAGATCTTTGCACTACACTTATTTAAAATAAACACACGATGTATTTCTGAACTTCGGCATTAGTCTTTAAAATTCCTCTTAAAATGGTAAAAAGCACCCTCTTGTATTTCATTTGTGCTTTTTCTTAACAATAACGTTGGCCATTTTTTTCAAGTTCACTATGTTTGTGTACTAACTCTTCTGCAGCCTTTTAATATGAAGCACACTAGTAGAGCATGCTTTCGGTCTCTGCCAGCTCTGCTAGCAGTGAGTATTAGTGCCGAGTAACCCTCATCCCCTAAAGTCGAGTCCATCTAATCTGACTAGCAGCTCGCTTTGCCTTCTCACGTGCTCACTAGCCATCGTGCTCACCCTTCTCTTCCAGATCCACTTCCTCATGATACTGTCTTCTAACTGGGCTTACTTAAAGGATGCGAGCAAAATGCAGGCTTACCAGGATATCAAAGCAAAGGAAGAACAGGAACTGCAAGATATCCAGTCTCGGTCAAAAGAGCAACTCAATTCTTACACATAAATATTTGCCAGAGTGTTTCGGCCGGCGAACTCACAGTTCTGACAAATCATCAGACAGCTGCTCTGCAGTACAGATGTGTATCCCATCAAACTAACGTAGACGTACAAACACTTCACTGTCTGTCTCAAGCTGCCGGGATGTATCTCTAGGAAAACTTTCCAGTGGGTAAATCTTTTTCTTTAGAATAAATATTGGAGGTTTCACATTAGCCATTTTAAAAGGCAACACTTTGACAAAATGATTGCTCACCCTTTTGAAATTTGTGGCATGTTCACACTTACTACTAGAGCAATTCTACCAAGACAGGCAATGGGAATACATCATACTCCTTAATGGGGACCCGTGATAGGCAAGCATTAAGGGATATGACCTTAAATTTATATTTGCCATCTGTCCTCAGATAAATGTTATCTATATAGGAAATAAAATGGAATTGGTATGAAGTTCCATTTCTGACAGCTGACATTTATTAAACTTTGGCTCATCGAAGATAATGATTCTTACAATTGTTGTTTTTTAATTAGCTTTTTTCTCCCCCAAGCCCAGGACCCATTAATTTCCTGAGCTAATCAGAAATCTATTTTTCAATAATGCTAAAATGAGCTACAACAATTCTGAAGCAGCTGGATTCTGACTCATTGACAAGCTTTCCAGAATCAATTTTATAACAGATTTCATTTTAACAAAATGATAATGACCCAGTTGTCATCATTCTTCTTGGGAAATAAATGTCAGCTCTGCCTTAATGAGTATTTGTTTTAAATTTCTAAGAATTTATATTTTAACCAGAGACCCAAAAACCCTTCACAGAATTTTGTTCCATAAATGTTTTTAATTAAGAAGTGTTACCTTATTAAAATGATCACCATTGTAAACCATTTTTAAGTGGTCTGGATAGTGAGTTTACAGTTTGATACCAACTATCTAAAACATAATTGCTAATTGACCACAGACCTCTAACCTCCTACTTTTATAGAGTTGAATACCTAATTTAAATTAGGGTTGGTATTTATTTCATTTTTTTTTTTCTTATCTAAATCTTAGTTTCCTGGAATAATAATAATAGTTTGATGTTCAGCAAGAAAACTGTTTGAGTTTAAGCCATTTTCAAAAGAAACTTGCCTTCTATATCATTATGTTCCAGAACATTAAGTAACTGTAGGTACTGGGTATTAGTGATGGTAAACTTTGTGTTCTTTATGAAATGATCCATGTAACTGTGGAGTGCATCAGTGCTTTTCAAAGGGGCTGCATACTATATAGGGTTAACTATGTATATTCATGTTAAGAGTTAACTTGTGGTTTGGCTGTTTCCTGGATTTTAAAACATATACATGTGCAGAAATGTATTCAAATGAAAGGAAGCATACCTTTATCAAGATGCTATTAAAATTGAACATCAAGTATAATATTTCATTTGGATTCTTTGTTTTTTCGGTTAATGCCTAAACATGCCTATTTGGAGTTGTTTTTTTTTTTTTTTTTAACTGGAAGAAGCTCTTTTCTGTGTAGAACAGTTGTTACAAAATAGCTTAGTGTTTTGTTTTCCTGTTGCATGACAGACTTAAATATTTTTTCCAGCAGTGGAGGTGCTGTTAGAGTCCAGTGTTCTAGAAAAGGCGTGTCTAAAGCCTAATTTTCCTTTTCTAATTCTGGTAGCTATTACCAGGAATTTTTGAAAGTTTTGTTTAAGTAGTCTAATATTTTTTATGTAAAGAGCATTAAATTTTGCTATGTATAAATTTTTGTAACCTAACAGTGAATCAATATTTTCTATCAGTGCCAAGGGCTTCCTGTAGTTCTATTCAAGTGTTACAATAAATATTTGTAGATAATAGTCAATACTTGTGTATGCTTATTTTAAAGATCTATTTAGGTAGAAATAGTTGTGGATGTACTATCACTAATGAAATAAAATTATAGCTTCATTCGCTTGCCTTTTTACCAGACATAAATCCTATCTTTTTCTGTCCTCAGTATGGTGTCATTTTTATATATGCACAATCAATATTTAACATTTGTATGGATCAAGTCTGAGAGTGCTCCATGTTTTATTTCTGACAAAAATATTTTCAGCAAGAGCAATTTGAAAAAATATTGTAACCCACTGGGCTGTATTTCACATAAAGTGCCACTAGCCCTCTCTATTTCTCTGTGGAAAGTATAGAATTTTTTTTGACTAGTTTCTCCAACAAATAAAAGCCATTTACCTATGTACTAACACAAGGCTTAAACTGGGCAAAGTAGAAACGAAGAGCCTTAGTAAGGGTCCAGCTACCACTGGCTGTTTTTCAAACCCAAGGTATAAAAAGTCTATTGAAAGAAGACTTATTCAGGAATATTTTAAAAAATCTAGTTCTAACAGTTATTCTGTAAAGTAGCAGAGCTAATTTTGTTAGGATTTCATCTGAACTATTTATCAGCATGATCACACACTTGGATTTTCTACATCTGACCTTTCTTAGGACCAGCCTTTCTCATTACTGACACATTGACATTTCTAAATGAGCTGCTGATACTGGATCATCACCCTTCATTCATGCACGGCAGGAGAAGAATCAGGAGCCCAATTAGTAGAGTGTTATTTGTCACACTACTTAGTACCTTCTATGTCAGTAGCATTTTGTGCAGTTATTTAAGATCATAAGCAGTCTCTTAATTGACAGTAATCCTGCCATACTATGTAGGAACCACTACAGGGTGGAATAGAGATTTTTCCAGTTATGCTTTATAAAACTTTTAAGAGATGAAGTCAAAATTATAGGGCAGGAGCCTACTCATTTAAAAACCAACAAAGTCCATTATATTAAAAAAAATAAGGACCAAACATTACACAATAAAGATGTCTGCTTGCTCCTGCTGCTATAACAAAATACCATAGACTGGGTAATACATAAACAACAGAAGTGTATTTCTTCTTATAGTTCTAGAGGCTGGGAAGTCCAAGATCAAGGCACTGGCAGGTTCAGTGTCTGGTGAGGGCCTTGTCTCTGCTTCCAAGGTGGCCCCTTGTTGCTGCATCCTCCAGAGGTGACGAATGCTACATACCCAAATGGTGGAAGGGTGGAAGGGCAAAAGGGCCTAGCTAGTTCCCCCCAACCCCTGCATAAGGTTGCTAATCCCATTTATAAGGGGCTCCTCCCTCATGACTTCTTAATTACCTCCTAAAGGTCCTACCTTTTAATACTATCACATTGGGGTTTAAGTTCCAACATATGAATTTTTGGAGGGACACAGTCAAACCACAGCAGATACCAAGCCTAGAATGGAAAAATCTGTATTTACGTTCAAGGACAAAACAGGAGAATGTTGGGGAAGATGACCTCCTGTTTTACAGGTGTTAGCCCAACTCCAGAGAAAAAGGAACACAGCTTAAACTTCCAAGAGGGAGGCTTGGAGTTGGACCAATAAAATAGGCTATACTTATCTGAAAATGTTAACACAAACATACTTTAGCATAATGAATCAGAAATCCCATGCCTGGAGAAGGGGTTTCACTTGACTAGATGATTATTGGTTCATCCACTACAGTACCAAATAAAATTACAAAAAAACATATACTGGATTACACAATTTTTATTGAGAACTTTGATTGCAGAGGAATATTCAGAGCTGTTACATGATTCCTCACTGTTGTAAGAAGCTAATAAGCAGCAAAAATGATTACCAAAAGTCATCTGGCTCTGGTTCTTCATGAGAAAAGCCTGTAAAACTAAATTAGGAAAAGAAAGTAAAAATTTTTAAATTTAAAAAACTCAAGTGTATTTGGGATCTGCATAATGTTCTCATTATGTCCCTGTGGGGTTTCTGCCCTCGCTTACAATGTGTATCTAGATCAGTTTCACAAGTTAAAAAACAATCAATTTTTAAGTCAGTAACTTTGACTGATTCAATAATTTCTCACAGGCAACCTCAAACATCTTACCATTTCCTTTGGCTGACAAAATGAGGAGAAATGGTTTGCGTAAGGAACACAGTGTTTGGGGAAGCCGTACCTCTCGTCTTTGTCAGTAGACGGCAGTGTGTCCACTACTGAGCCTTGTCTGACCATCTTTTTTGAGCTCTGATAGAGGGGGAAAGAAGAAATTTGAAATTACATATGCATTAAATTTTATGAAACACTGATTTCTCTAAGAACTATTTTTGAAATATATATGTAATATGAGTCTAAAAAAGAGGACTTTTTAACATGAAATTTAACAAGCACATCAAAATAAACTATATAATATGCATTTTCAACACCTATAATACTTCAGACTTATATATTGTCTCAGTACCAATGCATTTGTTATTCAATGGCAGATCTTTCATTATCTTTTTTGTTCTTAATAAGAGACACCCCAACCTTTACAAACTTTGACAAATCAAAATCTCTTCAATCTTTTACCTAAGCAAAAGCTATGAAATTTTCTCAAAAGAGTGATATATTTAAGAGACTCGAGGTTCCATTTGAACTTTGGATTTTCTATGCTTTTAACCTTTCTGTCTTCAATGAAGGAGACAGATTTCTGTCCCACGGTGTTAAAATGAACCACAGAAGCCTTCAGTGTCCCTCACCCACAGGCTGCCCTGTCCACAGCACGGGTACCTTCTCTGCTGACTCCTGCTCTTGCCCCTGCTGGATGATTTTCATGTATTTCTCTAAAGGACTTTCACCATGAGCAGATTTGTCTTTCATTTCTTGAATGCTCATTTCTAATTCTTTTTCCATTTCAATCTTCAATGATTCTTCAATCATTCTCTATAAAACAGATGGGTGCCAAAATAGGAAATACACAAATAACATTTTAAAAACTTAAGTGTTTAAAAAACTCAGTGATATAATCCTGATCTTTTAAGTACAACCTATATGCCAGAGATTTTTTTTAGTTATTGAAGTCATTGCTACTATCAAAGGGAGACACACATGTCATCTCAATGAAGGAAGAGACTAATTTGCCTAAAGTGTCTCGTGCTTTTTTAGAGCCAAATTAACCAGGAGTTCAAAGAACATTCGTATGGAAGATTAAGCAAGACTTAGCAGGCATGTTAAGTGGCCAGAGTAATCCATGTATCTAGGACCAGAATCAAGACATAGAAGAAGAGAACTAGAGGAAAGCAGGCAGCAGTGTGTGCCCCCAGAGGCCACTGTGGACTGGCAGCCAACTCTCCCCTGGGTGGTTCTCATCCCAGCTAGCTGGCCTCAGGAGCCTCTTCTTTAAACCCCTTTATGAAGTGAAGTTCTACAGCAAAGCACAGGCTACCTCCTCTATGGGCTTGTTTTAAATAAAGATCAGAGAATGCACATAAAAGTGCTCTCATAATTGATCCTTCACTAAGAGACTCATAAGCTGCATTCTGCGCAGCCTTTCTCACTGCCTGAGACACAAGGAGAGGCTAAGGGACACCTTTAAGTTAGCCCAGGACATCATTGACTCGCCTCCCTGAGCTCAGGGCACTTACTGAAGGCATACACTGGAGAAACGAGTCCCAGCCTATGAAGCCGTACTTACCCTTTCTTGATCCAGTTTTTCCAGTTCTCTTTGCTCCCTTTCTAAAGCCTCTAGCCGGTCACTCTGCCTTCTTTCTTCTCTCTGCCTTTGTTCTTTCATTTGCTGTTCCCATATTTTTTCTTCTTCCCTTTGTTCGCCAATTTGTTTCTGATCTATATGTAATGGGACAGAAAATAAGAGTGAGTAGGTTTCAGCATCAGGTTTTGCAAGCGAAAGCAGGACAGGTTTGCAGGGCCTGAGGTGAGACGTAGGAAGAGTACCTGATGGTGAGGAGGGGTGAGTCTGCACACTGCCCCAAGCTGCTGTGCGTCTTCGTCTTCAAGCCCCCAGGCCCACTCCTAGCAGCGCGCCCCACCTTTTACTTCACCGAGACGAACACAAGTCACCTTCACCAAGAACGACTCCAACTGTCCTCCCTCCACATGACATTTTCACATCCTCTTTTTCCATGTCCTCCCTCCTTTCCAAGGTCTCTGCGTGTGCTTACGATGATCCCTCCCTTATGTTAGGAGCCTGACTGAACCAGTGGCCCCTATTTACGTACATAGCAGTTTTATAACACTTTCTTACTCCCAGAAAGATACTCGTCTCTCCTACCCCAAACAGAACAGAACCACTGCCCTCCCCGACTGCTGGCCACCTCCCTGTTCATTCCTCCAGGCTGACTGCCACTCTTCCTGGGGTTTTGGCGATAGCCTCTGTACCGATCACTCCCACATCTTTTCCTCTAGTCCTGCACTCTCCCTGGCCTCACGTTTCTCATGGGTTCCCTGCCATTGGCACGTGGAAATCCCATGGCACTGGCTTCATCCCTGACATGACCATCCTGGCCCTTTAATTATGCTCTTTCTACCCCACGTCCACTTGGCCACCAGGGCTTGCAGGTTTGAGCTCCTCCTGCTGTTGCTGCAAGGAGGCTCCTTCTCGCCATTTCCCTGGACCACTGAAACAACTGAGTCAACTCTCCCCCTGATGTCAGTCTCCACCTTTCAGCAACCTGCCAGTGTCAGCACCAGGCTTTCCCTGAAGGGAAGACATGGATTTGCAGTGCGACATCTCTGCAGAGGCCAAATCCAGCCTAGGCTCTGACAATCTGCCTTTTTCCCTCCAGGCTCATTTCCTGCATCACCACTAACTTTGCACCTGCGGTACTCATCTGTAGCAACCCACTCGCAGGCACCTGACTACAGCTCTGTGCCTTGCTCTGTCTCCTCTGCGTGAGGTGCTCCATTCCTCCCACCTCTCCCACAGAACCCAAAATGCTATTGGAGACCCGACAAACACCACCTCTTCTGTGGCACCTGCCTACGCTGGAAGTGGCAAGAGAGCACTCCAACACCAACACCTAACTCGCCGTGTCCTGTGGCTGCTTTGCCAGAAACCATGTATACTTGTTTCTCCCACTTCTATGCCTTCTGGGCAAGGCCCATGTTTTAATTACTGTCTGTTCCCGCTAGCTTTTGGCACAGGTCCCTACACCTCAAAAGTTTAATTAAATCTGAATCCTGCAGATGATTATGCTGACCTTTCTCTTCCAGCTCTGACCCGTAACCTATTTTTTTTTTTTTTTTTTAACCCAAGCAGTGCTAATCAGCAGAAAAATTCATAAGTTCATCAGAGGACTTCGAATCTTTTTGTTCTGTCTGTCTCTATCAGAGGAGGCAGTTTGTCATTTCTGAAGGCAGAAATGCAACCCCTTCCCTGCTGGTGGAAGGAGGGCTACTCCTAAACAGTACCGCTTTCTTATATGGAATAGCGATCTCAAAATGGCAATGTTGTTTGGGTGCCAATTTAAAAAAAAAGGCGGGGGGCTTTAAAAAAATAAAAATAAAATGTGGTGGTGCTTGCTGATAACACCAAGGTTAAGGGTTTGGATCCTCATACTGGCCAGCCCCTGCCCCTTCCCCCCAATAAATAAATAAATAAATATTTTTAAAAACGGGGCTACTTCTCTGCTCTGGGGTATATTCTGTAGTGTTGTGGGAGCACATAGAAACCTCCGTGGACACAAGAGTAAAGGAAAGAAGCACATCCACGAGCAGTGCAAAGACACCAAGTTTCACCCCTTCTCATTCCCCTTTGTGCCCAGAAGAGGAAGTGAAATGGTGAATACAAGAGAATTTCTCAATGACCAAAACCATGCTGCCTAATAATTATTTTAAAAGCCATTATTAAAAGCCATTATTGTAATCTACATTGCATCTCAGAGGCAGAGTGCCTGCCTCCTCAGCTGACTTTCCTTAGCCCACTGTTCTTTTTATCCCCTCACTCAGGCTGTGCTGAGCGGCCGCCTGTCACACTCACTCTCCCGTAGCTGCCACAGGTGCCATCCCCCCATTCCCTGCCCCTGGGGCTGGCTTGCTGACCATCTGACTGCCCCACCAGAAGCTCTAGGGAGGCAAGGGCTTAGTTTAGTTCAATGATACATGCCTAGCCTCTAGGAAAGTGCCCAGCAGAAAGAAGGCTCTCGATCGAGTCTTGCTGACGGAGAGGTTTCCAAAGAAGACTGACTCTAGGATCAGCAAAATCCACCCTCTCAAAAACCTTTCACTTCTTCTAGTAACCCTTCATATTCCTGAGAAAACTTAAGCCGAGAAACTGCTAACAACAGGCTTTGGATATGTTTGCAAGATGATGTTTTCTCAATGTTTGGGAGAGACTAAGAGATAGCTTTACTTGAGAGATTTCCTTCTAAGTCTGAGGATTAACCACGTTGGTCTGAGCAGAAAAGGACCTGGCTGTGGGCTGAGCCCCAGGACAAAGCATAAATCTCCCCACAGCTCTCTCCCCTTCTTCTCCCACCACTAGTAAGGGAAGAGGGTAACCTGGAGAAGAGGAAAGAGAAAGTGGCCAGAAAAGAGAAGTCTCATGACCAGTTCTCTCCAGTGATGAGTTAACTCAGTGTCGACAGCTTTTCTGAAGACTGCAATATAAAGGTTTTCTGGCCTAATTTCTTGACACAAAGGAAGCAAGTAGATAGAAAAAGAAATTAAAAATGTATAATGAGAGTTAACCATTTTTTCAAATTTTCACCATGATTTCCTAGATGATAAAGTTCCTGTGGAATGGTTTTTGCGGAAGAGTCCTCGGGAAAAGTATAATTGCTCTGTCAGACTCTGAACAATTAAAGAAGAGTTATTTTAAAAAGCAACTGGCTTGGGAAGACTAAATGAGAAGCCTTTCCTTCAGTTTTTCCTCAGCACTGTCTTTACATGTTCACATTGGAAGTTAGTTCAGAAATTCACAGTAACACCCCAACCCCAAGACTTTGAATGACGTCTGCTTACCAAAAGTCCTTCAGTGATACACGAAAGAATTTACAGAGCATACAGACTGGTGTTCAGTGTGTGGCCATGCTGTCCACTAAAAAGCAAAAAACTTACTTGAGTAATTATATGAGATGGGTCTGGCGGGTGCAGCGGTGGCTGCGTCCACATGTGGCATATCTCCAGCGGGATGGAGCCCCTCCACTTCAAACAGACTCAGCATGCTCCCTGCACCTACACGAGGTACAAACAATCATCCCATGAGTCCTTCCTCATGATAGCAGGAGGGAGGGCAGTGCAGCATGGGGTAACTAATGGGGGAGCAAGGGAGCTGCAGCCAAGCAACTGGGTGAGAGCCCTTTCCTTCTAGGAGTCTGGAAGTTCTCAACATAACCACTTGCCGACATATTCGCTTCTCAGAGTGGTCTTACACTTTAACGAGTTAAATCTGTTTACAAAATTGGATTCATTAACCAACAGGAAAAGCAATCTGAAGGCTGAATGGTTAGCTCAGTTGGTCAGAGCATAGCCTTATAACCCCAGGGTCACGTGTGACGGGTTTGGATCCCTGTACTGGCCAGCCGCAAAAAAAAAAAAAAAAAAAGGAAAATCAATTCAGTGACAGAGAATTCACTTGGCTTGTTGATAATCATGTGAATTCTATTTAAATATCGATGATTTAACAAAGTCCTTTTAACTGGCAAGTTAAAAAGACTTCACAAAATTTACTAAGCCTTCTCATTTAAGTGTTCAAAATATTATACTTTCAGATTTGACGATGAAGTTTACAAGGCTAAACAATAGGTTATATACAAAGATTCATGAAGCTGGAAAGAGCCTTAGAGATGATGGCCTCTACATCCTTATTTTACACTTACAAACTGGGCTACCAGGTGAAACAGCCTAAGGCAGGGCCAGAGCCAGGACACCCACCAGTTTCTGGACTCTTAGTATTCTTTCACCTCCATTCTTTCACTAAGAATGGGGTTTTCTAGATCTGAGATGGTCAACAGAATCAATATAAAGAAAAATAACACCTTCATATTCCATTAAAAAAATAATTAATTTGGGCTGGCCCGGTGGCGCACTGCTACAGTGCGCCGCTTGGGAGCACAGCGGCGCTCCCGCCGAGGGTTCGGATCCCACGTACAGACCGGCCGCTCACTGGCTGAGCGAGGTGCGGGTGCAACACCGAGGGTTGCGATCCCGTTGCCGGTCCCGGTCCGGTATGGGCGCGACACTGAGGGTTGCGATCCGTTACCAGTCACGAAAAAAGACAAAAAACAGAAAAAAAAAATAATAATAATTAATTAAGGAAAATCACTTATTTTAAATCTGAGGTAATCCCAAACTTGGTAAGTTAAGGATTCATTTATTGGCTTAGCTCTAACTTTTAAATGATTAGTCATCTCAAAATTTCGGTGATAAAAAGAGGCACTATGTCTGTATTTCTAAATCTTACCACAAAATAAAAATGTACAAATTTGTAACTGCTTTGCTTTTTATACCAATGGATAGGTTTCACCAAAACTAAGCTTTCTACATTTTCAACTTATAAAAAGCAGTACTTGTATTTGAACTTACATTCAAAAGATGATCCAAATTCATTATCCTTAAAAGCTTGCTTGTCCAAATTTGAAAATTCACTTTTGTCTTGAATTTCAGTTTGTCTCTGACAAAGACTGGATTGGAAGAATAAAATTCATGAATGAAGTTTTAATAACATAAAACCCAAGAGCACAAGGTGACAAAAAACCTTCTGTGACTTAAGAAAATGCTATACAGAATTCGTTTTTCTTCTGCTTATGAAGAGCAGCTCCAGCGTGCTGAGCACTCACCACACCCACTCAGTCACTCCTGGGAACCACCCTGCGCTGTGAGGCAGGCGCTACCACTGTTAACAAAGAGTAATGCTGCACTCTCAGTGCTATGCCTAGGAGTTTAGCTTTTCCAATAACCACAAAAACTTTTTTGAAAAAAACAACTTCCACACACCATCAGCACGATGCAATACCTCAAAAGCCTGAGTGTGTACCAGAGTGTCCTTACTTGGCATCTTTCCTTTTGGCTTTATCACAAGAAAGTACAATATAAAAAAAATTAAATGCTTTATGATCATGAGAGGCCTATGTGGCAGTTTTCAACTCTGTGGAGGAGAACTATATAAACACGCAGATGCCCAGGCTTGACCCCAGAACTGAGGAGTCAGAATCTCCTGTTGTGGACACAGGGATGGGCAGGAGTCCGCCTGTAACTCAAATCACAGCCCAGGCGACGCACCGGCCTAGTTTCTAAAAACGTCCACTCCATCCTGCTTCAACAATTGTACTCTAGAACCCACTATCACTTTAGAATTTATTTCAATGATACAAATTGGAACCTTATCTGTTTTCCCCCAGGTAATTCAGATGAATCTCAAAGAGGACACATCATTTTACAGTCTGACTGCAAATTCTATACTGTCACATGACTCAAAGAGGACACATCATTTTACAGTCTGACTGCAAATTCTATACTGTCACATGATCTTTAATATCACCTTAAAAAACCAAACAAATAAAGTCTGAGACCACAGGTAGCATGACTAGCTGAAGTGGATCAGAACATGACACTTACCCTGCCTTCTGTTCTGGAGGGTGGGAGAAAGGAGGGAGGCAGAGGCTGTGCCTAGACTCAGCAGGTGATGGCTGGGACATTCTGTCAGGACAAGGACTTGGGGAAGCAACGTGTGACCTGTCCAGACCTAAGGGACAGAAGAAACCAGGGCGAGAATATTACAAATTGCATGGAGAAGATACCAACGTGGTTTCTAAAGAGCTCTATTAGTTTGAAAATAAGTTCTATCCATCATCCTTGCAAACAGGTGAGTATGATCCACAAAATTAAGAATTCAAGCACCTAAATTAAACTGTAGTGGTAATAATACAATGTATAAAACCAAGAAGCAGCAAGGAAAAGGCCACTGTTATTCCCCGAACGTGCGTGCCAGGCAAATGCTAGACCTTGATGCTCTTTATCTTGCTGACTCCCACAGCAACCCTGTGACTGGGGGAAACGCCACTGTTCACCAGGAGACCGCAGGTTCAGGGAGTGGCCACCCCTGCCTAACCACTGCATGCCATGCCCACCACCTCCCATTCTCTAGGGGCTGCACCCTCATTCTAGTGACAGGGCCGGCAAGGACCAGGTCCCCCAGCTCCAGTGCAGCCTGCAACCTCCTGTGCAGTAGCTCACCTTCCAGACACATTTCATTTTCCCAGCTTCTTTTGGCTTTTGGCAGGGGCGTGGAGGAGAGGCGCCTGTGTGGCTGTGACCTGGCGCTGTCAGTCAGCGCTTCCGAGGCCTCACTCTTCTCTTTAAGTGTGCCTACCGGAGGCTGCCCAGGAACAACTCGGTCCTCTGCAGAAACACCTCTTTCCAGGGCACTGGAAGTGATGTTTATGGGAGCTCCTCGCAGGTGCAGAGATGGTGGACTCTCGGCTGGCAATGGGCTTTTAGCAGGATTCTCAATAACTCTCTGATAGTAATCTCTGAAAGCTTTCTCCAAGCACTCTGCCTCTTGCTCTAGCTCTTTTACCCTTGCCTTAGCATTGGCTACAAACTCAAGGTCAGAATCGAGGGAACTGCCCTCCATCCCTGCATTTGGATAATGTCTGACCCTTGGTGTCACTGCACCTGCCATAACTTTTTTCTGTTCAAGAGGATTGTTTAAGAAATCCCCACTTATATCAATGTCATGAGGTGCCAGTTTGTATCCGCCGACGAAACGATTGATCGGAGACTGCTTCGGATTGCGGTACACTTCATTTTCTAGGGCTGCGGATTACGAGAAAATTTGAGAAATGAGAGGATAAGGAGGAGAATAAAAGGAAAATGTTTTTTTTGAAAGAAGAAAGTGATAAGGACAAACTTGCACATTAAATAGTTTCTGAAGCCACAGTAATGAAAATAACTGAATATTTATTGAGAGCTTATATGTACTAGCTACAGCTTCACATGTCTTCTTTTGTAACTCGTGATATAATTTCAGAATCCGTTATGCACAATTTTGAAATCCAAAAAGCTCTGAGAACTGAAAATTTATTCATAATTTATTTGGTGGCAAAGCCTAACCAGGTGAACTCACTTGGTTAAAAAGCTTGACTTGAACTGATGTAAATCCATTTATAATCTCTATTTATCCCACCTAGTATGAATATTCACACATTTGACTGCAGAATGATTAATGTGTTTCACTAGAGTATGCCGCCCCAGAACTCCCAGGGCAGTTGCGAAATCCACAGTGCATGGCCTGAGTTTTGGGTAAGGGAATGAGGACCCGCACTCACAACAACGCTGTGGTCAAGAAACTCTCACTGCTCCCATTTCACAGACAAGGGACTGAGGCATACTGAGGCTGGGTCACACAGTTGGCTAGTCCTAGAGTCATTGGATTTCCTAATGCAAAGCCAGGGTGCGTTCCTGCTCCTCTCCTGCAATGCCTCCCCATGATGCTACAAGACAGAAACTTGTGATGGGCAACACAGGCGTGCAGAAGATTCCATCTTCACTGGACTATTTTTCATAACACAAGACTGCTATGATTTCAGCTATGGGCAGTTTGGCAAACAAAACTTTTCAGAGAAAATGAAGAATGAATGGAAAGAACAGAACTGAGCAAAGAGATAAAAATAAAAGTAGTGCAGATAGAAAGGGACTGACCAAGAAACAGTACAAGTGGGGACTGAGCAGGGTGAAGAAACAGGTTGAACTTGGTAACACTCATGTTCTTTGAGCATGAACGCAGCTAAAGCTAAAGAAGAAAGTATCTAAGCTTCAATATCCTTCCTATGAAGTAAGAAGGGGCAGATATGCATCCACAGGGAAAACATAATAATGAAACAGCAGCAGAAACCATTTCCTGTGTCTTTCATGTTCCAGGTGTTGGACTGGGACCCATCTCATTTCATTTTTGTTCACCATGGCCTGGTAGGTATTATCATCCCATTACAAATGAGGAAATTGAGGCCCAAGGAAGTTAAAGTAACATGCCCAAGGTCAAACAACTAAATTCAAAATTGGGGTTGAAAAGAAAAACAATCCTCTGATTCCAACGGCAATGCTTTTTTTGCTAATCCACCCTGCTTCTCCCATACATTTGTGTGTCTATCAAGGCATACGTAACACTACTGAATAGCCGATCAGGGTAACAAATAAGGAAAGCCTAGGATGAAATTGGGGACTTCTGTGTCACTACCATGCCTTTCCTATTTGGGACATGAGGCTCTCTCAAGCCATGGGGTACCTGTGAAGGCAAGTCACGTTAGCTGATGACCCAGTTGGTATTCCTGAAATCGATAGGGAATTTTACTTCCAAGATGGCACACAGTTCTATGGCTTTTCCCATACTAAGAGAATTAGTAAGTGTTCAATAAATTATGATCATTACATTTCCACATTGTATACGAAGCTTTAAACAAGCACAAAAATATTTATGGGTTAAAAATGTCTCTAACCTGTCTGAGTTTGTTTCAGTTGCAATTTTAAATCAGCAACCTGAACGGTTAACCTCTTTACAGAAGCATCATAATCTAACATCTGGGCCTTCAGCTGTGCAGAATGCTCAACCTGAGAAGATTCAGAAAAAAAGAAATCAATGTAAAGGAAATCACAGCTTGCTTCCAAAGGAAAAATTCTCTTATTGTACTTATTCTCTCTCTCTGTTTTGCCAATTCTGAGAAGCTTCACACCAATAAACAATAGGGTCCCTTTGTAAAAACAACAAACAGAACACACAAACAAGTTTTTCACCATCTTTTCCAGTTATATCAAAGAACAGCTACTCCAGGACATGCAGGCAGAAATCAGAAAGACAGTGAATATCTGTCAGTCTCAGGGTGAGACTCAAGAGGTAACAGTGGGTACTATGGGGCACTCAGAAAGCTGTACATGTAGGTGACTTTGCTTTCCTCTCAATTTTATTACTATTATGAATATAAAGTCATATAATCACTAGAGAATTTTCTCACATGAGAAAAGATACCTTTAACATATGTGGGGGAGTAATTTTTGATATTAAAATAAATATGACCAATGCTGGTGTGATCTGTGCCAGGTTTACGCATCTACAGGGTGGGCTGGCACACCAGGACAGCGAGAGCGGTACTCACTTCACTCTGCAGCTGTTTCTGCAGAGCTCGCCTGTGGGTTTCGAACTCCTTCTGCTGACACACTATAGCATGTTCTGCTTTCTTTAACTCTTTCTGAAGAACTACAAGCTCAGGAGCTGGCTGAGCTATGCCTAAGAAGGTAAAAAAAAAAAAAAAAAAATCCTGGTCATTATCAACCTTAAGTTTTCTTATTTCATTTAATAAAGCAGCTAAAGAGGTTTTAAATTGTTGCTCCTTTTCTTTGTACTCATGCAATTAATATTATATTAATTATATTAAGTGGACTAAGAGAAATCTTGATTCAAATTTCAGAACAAAAGAATTTAGTGCATGTTAACGTAAACTTTATTACTCTTGGAGTCCTACTCCAAGTAAAAGAACTCTTTCAAATCCTCAAATTATCTTGAAAGCCTGTCCCTCTCCTCTTCCATGCACAGAAGGCATGGAATGAGCTATCTGATTTACCAGTCGATGACTGCCTCAAGGTCCAACCTGATCTGTGCATCTGTAAGTGGCAGATAGGTCCCAGGTAGAAAGCAGATGGTGTCTTCAATTTGGGGCTTCTAAGGACCCTTTATTAAGGGACAATTTATGTAGGGTAACCACAAAGGACAGTGTAGTTCTCTGGGCTAGTGACAGGGACATGCTGTTAGCACCCCTTGGATGTGAAGGACTAACGGAGGAAGAAATTCCCAGCAATGGAGACAGGGAGCTGGTGTAGGAGCCAAGCACTGGTAAGAGGCCATCTGGCGGGCACATGACCTTGCAGTGGCCAATCCAGGACCACCATATGTGGAGTTTGGGGTGGGGATGGAGATAACAACAACCTCGACCTCCGTCTGTCACAGAGTTTGCTGGTGTCCCCACTGGCCAGACCCAACCAACAGTCAGAGGAGGAGGGGAGCCCTGATGCCAATCCAGAGAGGCATATTGGTAGAGCTTAAAAATATTTCTTCTCACACTAATGCTATAAAGTATGTGATAGCAGGTAAAAAGGAAGTAATTTCAATCTGAGAATCTTAATTTTGTAAAATCTTCCCAGTTTAAGCCTCCCTTATAGGTACAAAGCACAGTTTTATAATACTGACCTAATATGAATTCCTAAAACATGCAAAAGAGAAAAAAAGACATACGGTTTAGGAGACGCAAGTTTTCATTTCTCCTCTCTTCCAGCTGTTGTTTAAGTAATTTATTTTGTGCCTGAAGTTTCTCTTTTAGTAGTGAACAATCACTCATCTCTTTAATCTTTTCATTCAGCATGTGGTTTTGTTTTGTTACTGCCAAAGACTGGGCTTTGACAGATTCTAACTCAAACTGAAATTGAAAAAGGAAAACTTACATTTGAATAATGACTTCACAGTACTGCAAAAGTAAAAGATGGCAGGCTGCTCTAAGCTGAGTGTCATAATTTAATTAAGAAGATTTAATTAACCAGACAGAAGTCAGGTTCTCTGCAATGACAAGACCCTGAGTACAATAATGAAAGTCACCTTCTGCCTGAGAGCTGGGTTATGGGAAGTTCCTGTAACTTGAGTTCTATAGACCCCTGTCCTATGAAGCAAGTGCTTCTGAGGAAGACTATCACTCCATTTTCCAGAGGCAAGCAAGAACCCAGTAACAACCATGCACTGTAACAACATACATATTTTTAAATATAAAAAGGTGAGCTAGAAATGGTCACCAGCATGCTGTGAAGTGCTTCTTTTGTGTCTGTATATCTCTTAGTTAGGTATGAAAGCCTATAAAGTTCTCAAAAAAGTAAATCATCACAGTTGCAAAAATATATTTAACATATACAATATATTTTAAGTACCTGAAGTGCCAGCTCTGTCCTTCAGATAGCAAGCACACTAACGAACAGAAGTAAAGTAACAGTGACATGTGACAAATGCATCTCATTTTGTTTTACTCCACAGGATAAAGACGTAATGACAGGAATTTTTCCCTGCTGCTGGTGGGCTGGGAGGAGAGGCTGGGGCAGATGCTAACGCGTACTGGCCACCTGCTATGGGCTAGGTGCATAAGTTAGTGCGTTGAATTCCCTCAATAACCATGTGATGTGGGAAGCAGCCCCAAATTCATAGATCAGGAACTTGAGGTGTAGAGTATGCATAAAGCAAATGTACTTCACAGGGCCTGGTTTTCCAAAGCCTTGCAGTTTCAAATATTGACCTTGCAAAGGACAGGAAATTTTCCCCAGGCTATATAGTCTCTGTTGTAAGATAAAGAATTGTAACACAGCAAGGTTGCTGGCTCAAAGACAGACAGGTTACTGATTGATATGTAAAGATACTGGGAAATTGCTGTAAGAAGAGAATGTTTGCTAAAATCAAGCTTTTGTTAGTGGATCAACTTAATTGCATGTTACCAGCTTCTATTGTTAAACTTGTTATATGGTACTTAGCAAAAACCCCACCTGTGTTCTCTTCCTGTAACTTGCTGGTCTGAAGAATAAATGCGGGAAGAGAACCCCAATTTGTGATTAGTTTACCAAATGGAGGGAATGCCTCACTCTTGAGGGTTCTGGGAGATTAACCCCTTTCTGGGGCTTCTCACTGCTCAGAAGAGATGGGCTTTGAGTAATCTTTGGTGGCTCCATCACCCAGGGGAAAAGGGATGACAAATCCATGGAAGGCAAAGCAACATTGAGGTCCTGGAACTCACCCAAAGGCACAGAAGCCATAAAGGACAGACAGGATTTGAATAGGACTCTAGGACCCAAAGCCCTAGCTACCCTTCCCTATATGACTTCCACTGAAATGCTGAACTAGTGAATTCCCTTCAGCCATCACCTTCTTAGTCATATAGTAAACAGTCCAGATATATCGAGAGGATGACTTAAGATAAATTTCATGTACTGCCTAAAATCTATTTCAAAAAAAAAAAAACAGGCTTAACAATTACCTCAAGTTGTTTCATACGCTTTACAGATTGGGTGAGTTCTTCCTTTTTTGAATTAATAGCTGTTAGCTCCTCCTGCAAATGAATAGCTTTTTCTGAAAGAAAGAGCCCACCAATTAAACATCATAATGTTTTCCTAGTGAATACAAAAGCCATTTAATAATTAATGGCCACTATATCAAATCTAATGACCACTATTTCATAATCTAAAATAGCAAATGTACAGGTCAAAAATTTAGTGGGCAAGTAAGGAATAAACCCTGTTACCCAACAGGTGATATGAAGTTCTAACTGTCATAGGTGGTGAAATTCCACCTGCTACACATGCTAACCAGAGTCACACTGTCTGCTCAGAGCACAGGACCCTAGTGCTGGCAGCTCTTAATTTCCTTAAAGACAAAGATCTGTTACTATTTTGTAGCTGCTATTTTGCATTTTTTGCTTCATCTAACACAAGTCTATGTAGATATACCATCAAAACAATTTGCTAAATACATGATAGTACTAATCCATAAAAGAAGTGTTAGTTTCCACAAGATAGTAACAAAAGCAGCAGCCACACATTGGGTGCCCAGTCAATATCAAGTACCCAGCCCTGGTTTACTCCCAAGAATCTGTCTGAAATTTCCACCCAAAGTTCAGCTTCTTGTTATAGGCAATTTCCTAGAAATATATTGAAATTTGAAATATCTGAAGATTGAAAAATTATTCAACTTTCACAGTCTCAAGCTAATGTTTACAAGAGTTTAAGAGGTTATATGTCAAATAAAAATATCACAAAGCATAAAAATATATTAGAAGTAAAAGAAATAAGAAACTAGATCACAGGGGCCAGAGATGTTAAAATAAAATTTTCCATAAGTAAGAAGTCTCTCTCATGGTTAAAAGGAATATTTACAGGATGGCAATAAGTTGCTTCTACCTTCTTGACAATCGCAGACTTATTCAAAATATATTGAAATAAAGCTGAATGAAATAGTGATGATAAATCACTGGCCTTTGGGAATATATGAAATGTTAAACATGGGGGCCGAGCCCGTGGCGCACTCGGGACAGTGCGGCGCTGGGAGTGCAGCAGCGCTCCCGCCGCGGGTTCGGATCCTATATAGGGATGACCGGTGTGCTCACAGCGCTCACTGGCTGAGCATGGTGCAGCCGGTCTCAAAAAGGACAAAAAAAAAAAAAAAAAAAAAAAAAAGTTAAACATTAAGGTTTCCAAAAATGGAGTAAAAGACAATAATTATTTTCTTAATTTGGTAAATTAAAATTATAAAAATGTGTAATTTTGTAGTCACAATGAAGTATAAGCTATACAAAAGTACTTCAAAAGGTTCATGGAAAAAATACACTTAAAAGATAATACAAATCTTTCCATGAACTATTTGAAGTACCCCCATATATTTAGAATATAGAACAGATCCACCTCAGGAAGCTAATAACCTACATCAGCACTGAAAATTACAGCTCCCCTGCCCCTCCTGAGAATCACCTTTATTCTTCCTCTCATCTTCAATCAGTCTATTAGTTCTAGTGATGTAGTCGTCCTTTAGTTCAAGTTGATACCTGAGAATCAAATGAATTAAAAATGAGTTCTTTGACATCTCCCTGTAAAGACTGCTATCAATACACGAGCTTATCTATGGTGCAGTTGCACCCAAGGGCGCTGAACATGCCCATGCGTAAACTTCAAAGTCTCTCAGTACTGAGGCCTGGGATCTGAATGCTGAACAAAAAAGGTCTAGTAAAACCCTGCCTTGATCCTGTAAACTTGGTCCCAAAACTCAATCGCACAAAACGTGGGGTCATTTTATTGTAAGGTTACTGAAAGCATTGCTTTTCAGTTGGTCTTAACTAACACAAAGAGCAAATAAGTAAATTAAGTTAAACTTACACAGCACACAACAGACTCTAAATCCCAAAGGATAACAAGGCAGTGGCTTCTAATCCATCTGTCCCATCTCTCCACCTTCAAACAGGATGAGAACTTCTGCACTCCAGAGCTAAGCACAGTACTGAGAGCCAACAACATTACGTACACATTAGTGCTACCCAAAGGCACATTTTTATGGAGTTTTCCTTCTTCTCCCCAGCTGTCACCAGCTGCCCTTCTGGTTCCGGGAAGGGAGAAGGGAAAGAGAAGTTCTTCCATGGGGAACGTCCTCCACAAACTCCAACACTTGCCAAAGTCCTATGAGGAGCCCTGAGGACAGACCTCCCTACCATGGAAGATGTCACAATGACACCAAAACAGTTCTCCAGCTCCACAAATATGTAAAATCAACATACACACTTTCATTTATTTCTAAACGTTTAGCAACTACAGATATTCCAGTGTTCGCTACTGTAGTACAGGAGCTGACAAAATACGTGGATGAAATCCATCATTTCAAAACCGATAAAAGGAAAAGCAGCTATATCTCTATATCTCCCTTTTTTTTAACAGAATATATTTTAAAACAACCTCAAGAAACCTTTGCAAGTACTACGTAATGTAATAGCAGTGACAAATTAGGGGCAAAGCAATAAAGAGAAGCAAGGACTGAGAAATACCTAGAGCAGCTGAGCTGAGTCATCTCGGCGACACTTCTGCTCAGCAAACGTTAACTGAGCACCTCTTGTGCTGGATGCTATAGTGCCCATGGAGAGAAAAGTTACCGTATGGGCGTAATACCTCTGCACTGAGATTTTATTCCTCGTATACAACGCTCAGACTGCAGAAAAGCCAAAGTAACCCCAGTTGTCCATATTTTCCTTTCCTATATCACTTTTTGCTTCATGTAGTTAATTTTAGTTCATTTCTTTTGATTCTGGCCTTGCAGTCTCTTGAAGGAATACAAGACACATATTCATTGATAAAAACAATAACCACTAAGTAGAATAATTTTTAAATTGTTAGATATCCCCATCTTAGTGGAAGCAGAGGAAAGGATAACTAAAAGTGATTATATTCCAATTTTACAGCTTATTAGCTGCGCAAGCTGAGTAACTCGCAATGTGCCCTAAAAATTAAAGCAAATTACAGGCCCTCAATAAATGTTAGAAAAGCTATGAGCAAGAAGAACAGAGGAGGCAAGTCTCTATGTCACATCTTTGAACAACTATCCTAACTCAAATATTCCTGGGAAAAGAACTATTGATGAAAATGTATTTTTTCAAACACTAACTTTTACAAACACTAAGAAAACATTAGTCTTATCTGCTTCATCACTTTTTGTCATGTTTCCACCACCTTGATTCAAACATACTACTTCTTTAAAAATGCCAAACAATTACTTCAGAAGTTCATTCTTAAGCTTTTGGTCATAGGTCTCCTCAATACTCTTTATATTCTGCTCCCGTCGCCTAAGTGCCTCACTCACGCTTCTATTTTCTTCTTCTTGGAGCCTCTGGGTCCTAAAATTAGAAAAAACATATAAAGCAAATAAACTACAAAATCACAGGTAACAAATTTTGGGGAAAAAAGAACATGTGTTTTTAATTCAACAGACTAAAACTGGTATGTGACTGTCACTACTGGGAAGTAAAGAGAGTCAGAAGTCCTCCTTATACAGGATGGAGGCACCTGGCTTTGGGGAGCCGGAAAGAGTCAAGACCAATGTGGTTTCTCACAGAAGATAATTAACATTGGAAAAATGGTTACAGGTGATAAATGGCCATAATCAATTTAAGGGTGAAAGAATGATACTATCAGTTACAAACAAAAGTTAGTGTACTTATGTGCTTGTCTCTTCTTTAATATTGTTTCTAACTGTGGGATCTAATCAACTAGCCCACAGACATCAAAGGTAGGAGATCTGTTTTTGTAATTTAATAATCTTTTGATTGAACATAGAAAAGAGTGCTGAAAAAGAGAACAAAAGATAGATGAATCGATCAGGGCTTCCAAATACCAAAGAACAGAATGATCTCCCTAGTGAGACTTTAAATCAACTTTCACACCAATTCCACAGCCAGGGAATCAGGTTCAGAGGTGCTGAGATCAGGTCACCAGGAGAAGTGCCACAAAGTCTTTCTAGTCCAGGAACAGGGTGACGGCTCTATGTACTACTAGCTCCCTCTGCTGGCTAATCTGGAAAGCCATGGAGCATTGAATTCAATTTATTTGGCTAACATGCTCGGAAGGGAGGAGTAAAGGAAGCAGAAGTAGATTATATAATCAGGAACTCTCCCTGCCCAAATTTTGTTCCTTTTCATTTCTCCCTCTTGATCAATTTACCTCTTCAGTACTGTCAAAAAAAGAATAAGGCAGACACAGAGAAGGAATCAAACAAAGTGACCCTACAGAAGTGAGAAAACATTAATGAAGATGGGGAAAAATTCCTTATTGAACTAAGATTCCTGGAGTATCTATGGGTGTCAATTAAAAGCAGATTCCAAATAAAAAAGGTTTATAGCACAAGCTATTCACAGGTGAGCCTGTCATCAATCCCAGGTAAGATTTGAAGGAACACTAGTGAGCACTTAGAAAAAAGTGAGTAACACACACACCAAGAGAAATAGTTCCACCCAATGTAAATCAAGTCCGACCACCATATTTCCTGTGTGAGCTCAGAGCAGGTAAATGCTACAGGCCTGGATATTTGGAGTTCAGTTACTAAACACACATGTAACTATCATATTAGAATGACTGAACATAACTACAAAACCCACAATCTGTTCAAGCATTATTAGCTTCTCCAAATTATTTGTCTGGCATGATGATGGGTGTCTCATTCTCTTTTGATCCTATTGTCTAATATTTCAAAAGCAAAACCCTAGTCTTTGTTTCTCTTAACTTGTACCTTCTAAAGCTAGGTGATATCACCATTTCAAGCAAGAACTCTATTTGTCAATTAACATTAGAATATTTTGGGCCAGCCCCGTGGCGCACTCGGGAGAGTGCGGCACTTGGGAGCGCAGCGGCGCTCCTGCCACGGTTCGGATCCTATATAGGTGTGGCCGGTGCGCTCACTGGCTGAGCGCGGTGCGGGCGACACCAAGCCAAGGGTTGTGAACCCCTTACCAGTCACGAAAAAGACAAAAAAAAAAAAAACATTAGAATATTTTGACATATTTAGAAATTCTTTTATATTCATTCTGAATATCCAAAATGAACATGCATTACTTACAACTCAAAAGCTTCAACTCTTTGCTTCAGCTCTGCTTCTCTGTCTCTTAGCAAATCCAAATTTTTTAGTAGAAGCTGCCTTTGAGTAAAAATTTCTTTTGTTTCAATCTGCATAGGAAAGCATTAATTTTTAGCAAGCAAGCTAAAGAATAAAACAGATATGAACTAATACACTGCTTCCTAAATTCCAGAAGACAATCAAAGTGCAGACATTTAGGGCAACAATTTCATTTTCAAGAGATTCCAATTCAAGGATTGCTTTTCACCTATTTTAGGTTGCACAAAAATTTACTCCCTTGCGTAAGAAAATTCTTCCAATGACTATGAAACTACATTACCCTATGTTCCTAACATTCTTTGTCCAATTATTCTATTTAGTTCTTTAACATCTCTCAGTTAAAATTTTGATAAGTTCTTCAGCCAAAAAAGAAAAAAATATTAAACAAAATGTATGTTCAGCAATAAAACCCCCATGGGTCTGGTGGTAGTGTTGTCTGAATGTTTCAGCTCATGGGTCATTCTGATTCAGTGTTAGCAAGCTAATGTGAACTCGTGAATGAATGGGCCATCCTTCCACGTATGTGTTTATTGAGCAAGGATTTACTACCTACCTACCACATGTCAAGCAGCACATTGGGAGCTGGATATAAAAAGGTAGACAGATAAAGTCCCCATCTTTAAGGATCTCACAATTTAGTTAGGGAGAAACAGACAATCAAATACACTAGGTGGTGAGGATTTCATAACTGAAGTACGTAAGACTTTACACAGAAACGAGGCTTAACCGAGTGACACACTGGGAGTCAGGGAAGGCATCGCTGAGGTGACATTCAAGCTGGGTATTATTAAGGGACAGTACAGTTTTATCAGGGAGAGAAAGAGACAGGCATTCCAGGTGGAAGAATAAAGGCCTGGTGCATTTTGAGGATGACAATCTTGTCATAATCAGTTAAGTAAATGGGGAGCTACTCAGTCACCTATCTTGAAGATGAAGTTGTTAGTCTAAACACAGTCCAATCATCTCAAAGATCTGTGCTTCCAACATTTATTTGTACACCTGAAACAAGCCCAACTCCCAGAAGTGCTATACAAAACTGTAGAGGGGGTGTACTTGGTGCTAAATAACTACCTAACCCTCAAATCTGCCTGAGAAGATGGAGCTCATTAGTGTGAATTTCGCACAACCCTGACACGGACGTCTGCCTCTGCAGTTCTTTCCTCTCCCCAGTCTCAGAGGAAGAATGTATGCTGTCCTTTTCAAGGCCGATCCTTCTATTTGCACTCTTGGCCCCTGGCCCTATTGCTCCTCAAGGGCCTTGTTCCATCAATTGTCCCATCTCATTCCTGGATCCTGAGCCAACCTACTAACAGCTGCAGGGAAGAGCCACCCAGTCAATGACTTTTAAATATTACCTCTTGGTGCTTTTGAATTCTCTCAAAGTTAATCTTTTCCTGAGAAATGAGGGCTTCAGATTTTGCTTGACAAGCTTTCTCAAATTCTTTCCGTAATTCAGCTAATTCCTTCTCATACTTTCTTTTCCCTTCCATTTTAATTTTTGCTATTTCAGTATCTTTAAAATAGTTCAACTGCAAATTTATCACAAAAAAATGGAAAATACCAATTACTATACTAAAGAAATAGTAACATATTCTCTCTCCATATTTAGGTTTAGTATTAATGCTCTGTCCAAACATGTTACATTTAGTTCAGTTAATCTTTAGTTTTATCTCATTCACTGTATTTGTAGTGTTCATTCAAAAGGCATAAACAAATGATATCAATTGGAAATAAAGATAATATGCACAACAGTATAGTATCCCATTCTTTAATAAAGGCTCCAGGTATTTCCCCTTATATCTAAGATTAACACATTAGAAGACAAGCAAAGATACCACTCTTGTTAAGAGCAACAAGATAAAGCTTACCTTTTGACACATTTCTGCCTGAAGCTGCTGTTCTATTTCTCTCTTATATTCATTTAACTTTATTTCTAAAGACTGTAACTTTGCACACTGAGGGTAAGCATCTGCAAACTGATCATCAATAAGCTGAAGCTTCTCAGCTATTAAAAAATAACACATCAAATTAGGATATATAAATATGGTTACGGTCACAAGAGGCCAAACCTCTTTTCAAAAGTAAAGAGTATGCTTAGGGGAAAGTATAAGGATGTCTGCAATTTACTTTGAAATACATAAAAAAATTAAGATGGATTAATGGATGGACAGATCAGTGATGAAGCAAATACAACACAAATTTAATGGTGGAATCTAGGTAGTGGGTATACAAGTGTTCATTGTAAAACTGTTTCAACTCCTGTATGTTTGAAAATGCTCATGAAAAGATTTGTATTATCTTTTAATTCTATTTTTCCATGAACTTTTTGAAGTACCCTCATATTTTATTATGGACTTTGATTAAAGTTGACTTACACATTCAAAACAATGACTTTAAAAGAATCAAAGATCATGTATTTCAACCCCCTCCCTCTTTGTGGATAAGGAACAAATGCCCATACAGTTTAAGTGACTTCCAGAGGGTTAAGCAAGTACGTAACGGCATAACTGGGACTAAAGCGAAGTCTACTGACTCTGTCATACCATTGCTCTTTTCAATAGGCCAGTGGCCCTCAAACCAACTGTGCATCAGAAGCAACCACACAGCAGAGTGCAAACCTGAAAATGGAGTACAATCTCAACCATGTCTAACACCACTATCAAACAAGTATGTGCAGGAACAAAGAGGATGGCAGAAGTAGATCAAAATGACAGTGTTTGTCTCTAGTAGGCATAACTTTAGACATGCTCTTCCAATTACTTTTCTGTATTTTCCAAATGCTCTATAACTGTGTTGTCCAATACAGGACTGGTCAGCCACATGCAACCAGTCCAAATTGAGATGTGCTCCAAGTGCAAAAAACACACCAGCTTTCAAAGACTTAGTACAAAAAATAAATGTGAAATAGCTCATTAATATTTTTTATATTGAATACATGTTGAAATAATGTTTTGGCTGTACTGGGTTAAATAAAATATATTACTAAAACAAATTTCACCTGTTTCTTTTTACTTTTCTAAATGTGACTACTAGAACATATAGTTTCATATATGGTTCACATTATTGGACTGCACTGCTTTATATTAAGCAGTTAATATATTTCTAATGCAATTCAACCTGCACTTAATTAAAGGCCCAGTCGTTCAACATACGCAAATCAATAAATGTGATACACCATACCAATAAAATCAAACACAAGGACCATATGATCATCTCTATTGATGCTGAAAAAGCATTTGATAAAATTCAACACTCATTCATGACAAAGACCCTCTATAAGTTAGGTATAGACGGAAAGTATCTCAACATAATTAAAGCCATATATGATAAACCCACTGCCAATATCATCCTGAATGGGGAAAAGCTGAAAGTTTTTCCTTTAAGAACAGGAACTAGACAAGGATGCCCACTCTCACCACTCCTATTCAACATAGTGTTGGAAGTACTAGCCAGAGCAATCAGAGAAGAGAAGGAAATAAAGGGCATCCAGATTGGAAAAGATGAAGTCAAACTGTCCCTGTTTGCAGATGACATGATCCTATATATCGAACAGCCTAAAGCCTCTACAAAAAAACTCTTGGAGGTGATAAATGATTTTAGCAAATTTGCAGGATGTAAAATCAACACACAAAAATCAGTAGCATTTCTTTTTTTTTTTTTTTTTTTTCTTGTTTACTTTTGGTT